CGAGATAATAAGTATGGTTAAAACTACCAGAGTACCATAATATTTACCGTGTTTTGGGAAACAGCTCAGTGATTTGTACCAAAACGGTTTGGTAATGATATTCGTAAAACTAACAATAAAATATTGTTTTATAATTTGTGATAAAATTTGGTAAATGCAGTAAAATTTTATAATTTTCTCATTATACCTTAGTTAGTACCGTAAATATAATTTATTTTGTTAAATTAACTTTCCCGCTGTGGTTACTAAATGTATGGCTATAAGAACTGTAGCTTTCAAAACGTATACTTTGTTTTCGTTAACCAAAATTTATAAATAAAACCCCGAAAAAAAGGACGAAAATTGTTAAAAAATTCGGAAAATAAAAGCTATAATCCTTTCATTAGCTCACACGATTATATCCACAAAAAAGTTGCTTTTCTTAATTTTCTTCGTGTTTTTTGTATTTATTTATTAGGCTATAAATATATATATATATATATATATATATATCCCAAGATTAGCTTCAAATCTCGACCAGCAAGCTACCACGGCCCAGTACTAAGCTACGCGCAACATACTTNAAATGAATATCTTTCATAATTTATACAATATGAAAACAAATAAAATTAAATTAAAATAAAAAGATAGAACGCCTTAAAATTCTTAAAATGAACGTCTTGGAATATTTGTAAAGAAGAGAAAGATAAAAAGTGAAAAAAAGAGAGCGATAAAAGCAATTTTCTGGTTCTCTTCCCCAAATGGTAAGCTTTTTGATTTAAGCCAACAGGAGAGAGAATCAGACTAGGTGGGATGTAAAGGTTATTATTACTATAATTTCTTTTTAGACTATGTTATGCCGCCCCTAATAGTCACTTTACTCGAGATCTCTTCATTTTCTACCCTTAAAATGACGGCTTTTTTTTTCTTTTCTTTTCTTTCTTCAGGATCTTAAGTTTGCAATGCTACACGACATAAAACAGGTTTCTTACTTCAGAAAAAGTATTCACTATTTTATCGTTCCTGTAGACCATACATCATTTCCTTCTTTTGCAAAAGAAAAACAATTTTTTTTTTCTCATTCGAATAATAGATTCTAATAAATAGTCTTTAAATGAACGAACAATGCTCCTTTTTTTTTTTTACTGTCACGAAAAATATAAGAATTTTTTTTTCTTTTTAATTCTTATTAATAAATTTTTGCCTGTTTAATAGATAATGCTATAGAAAAATGATACTTCTAATCTTTTAATTACTGTAACTGATAATCTTATCTAATTATTTGTTATTAAATTTTATTTATTAGACGATCGAAAAATAGTTTGTTTTTGATATTTCTAAGTTTCCCTTTATAGTTTTTTTTAATTTTTACAGGCTAAACATGAGTTGTTATTATAATTGATTTTAAAATTTGAAGAAGAAATGTAAATAGATATTTTTCGATTGCATAAAGTTAATGGTGCAACAGTAAGTTCACGAATATGAGGATAATTCGATTTTTTAGCTAATATTAATGATTCATACCTAGAGGCTAAGCATCGTGGGTTGCTAAAGATGCTTAGGAAAAAAATTCTTCAAAAGTTTCTGTTAAGAAGCACTAAAAAAATATTCCATTGGAATAAAAAGAGTCCATTTTAATGAGATTTTAAATTTAAGGCATTTTTGATGTCCTACAAAAGAACATTTTTTATAACGGAATTTCATGGCATTTTGGATTGGATATTTATGATTTAGTGATATAGTACTTGTCAAACGATTCATTTTCTATAAATTTTTGACAAAGAGCTCATTGAAAATATGTTATCAAAGACGTTAGTTATTTTCTATACTATTATGAGTCAAACGACTTATTTTCTAAACATTTTTTACAAAGTGCAGCCCAAGAAAATAGCACTGTGCAAAGCGTCAAAGTCAAATTTCTTTTTTATATTTCGCCAATTTCCAAAATGTAAAAGAACTTCAAAACACTTATGTATAAATTCATTTTATAATAAATTTAAAAGTTGTCTAAATTTCCTGATTCATTGTTTTACGTTCTTCAAGAGAAGTCTTACTGTCAAACATTTTAAAAATTACTCAGTAGAGGATATACCACGACATTTTAATATTGATTTTTATATTCAATTTGTAGAAATTTTAAAAAACAGTCTTGAAATGAAAGATTATTCTTGAGAACTTTTGAATTTTAAAATGCTGAGTAACTTATGTGTTATCCGGTCTGTTACTAGCTTATTTGGTTAATTAGTGGAACTATTTTGACTGCTAGTCATTTACAAAATAAGCATGTGAGTTATATTTGAGGTCTTAAGCCTAAAACGTTGGCACGTATTAGTAAAACAAATTCAATTATATGAAATTATCAGGTTTGTCACTTTTCCAATATATGTTTCAGTTTAAAGATAACTTAAAAAATCCCCACAAAAAAGTTAATTCAATCTTTGCTTAGATTGTAGAAACGCATGCAAGACATTTTCAAAGATACAATGCTACTCACCAACAATGATCAATTTTAATTTAATTTTTAAAACGATTCTAATTTCAAAAATGTCATCAAATTTGAAATGCAACCTAATACTAAGCAAAAAAAATTTTTTGCTAGTCATTTCTTTCATTTATTGTTGCATTATATCTCTAATTTAAGCTATCGTACACTTACAAGCTGCGTGGGTGCCGTGAATAAAAAATATTTCTGTTAGTCAAATTTCATTTTCAGTCTTACTTAAAAATCATTTTCCTATTTTTTTTTTCTAAAAATTTATAAATGTATGTTATCTATAGGAAAAAACAACTTGTGTTATCATTTAGCGTTATAGAAAAAAAAAAGAAAGAAAAAACAAATAAAATATTTTAAGAAAATTTAAGATAAAATAAAAAAAGGGGAAAAAATAAAGAAAATAATTAAGATGAAAATAAGCAAATAAATAATTATAATTTAATTATTAAAAAATTGTAAACAAGAATACCTAAAAGTTCCCATGTTCGACGGATAGTTATATTAAAAATTTAAAGTAAATGATAAGACAATTAAGAAAGTTATCGAGTACGCATGCGAGTAGTATTCATATCGAGTATTAATGTAAAGGATGAGATATACAATTTAGAATTTGCAACTGCGTATTTCATCCATTTGCATGTTAATGCAAAATGCTCAGTATATGCTGTTTTTGAGAGTTTTATAGTAAGTTTTAAAGAAAATATTCTCTTAAAACAGTATAGCTAAGTAAATATGGAAGAAAAATCGAATTTTTAGAAATTTTTTCAATAGTGTTCATTATCTCTTTTTCTGGAATGTTAAAAATACGCGGTTAATCGGTTTAAAATTCAATATTCTTTTTGATAAATATATGATTTTTTCATATATTTATCAAAAAATCATTGAAAAAAGATATTTTTTCGTAAGTAAAAAAAAAAATTTCAATTGTGAAAAAAAAAAAAAAACTAAGTGCATGAGATCCCGCCTTACTATATTAGTAGGATTTTGACACTTTTATCGGAATCATAGGAGATTTTGTATCATGTAACTTTGTTCGAGTGAAATTCTGCTCTACCATATTTTGATTGTCTCTCTATTTTCCCATATGACTGTTCCATTATTTCGTATCATGTGATTTAACAATCCCATGTATTATCTTGTCCAAGTTAAATTCTGTCCTATAATATTTTAATGGAGTGAGTATATTTCGTAACCCTATAGTGCACTATACTTTGTTATATAAGATTCTGTCTCCCTACATCTTGCTGTGGGAGATAGTGCCTCGCTAAATTTGGTTATGTAAGATTCTTTGCACTTATATCTTGTTGTGGAAGATGTTGTGCCACATTACCATGTCCTCGTGAATTTCTGTTATATTGTTCTGTCTATATTGTTCTGTCCTCGTGATTTATTTTAATTATCTGGGATTCTATTTCTCCATTGTCCCCGAGTGAGATTCTGTTTCATTATTTACCATCATGTGACATATCCCCCAGTGTATTATCTTGACCAAGTTAAATTCTGTAATACAATATTTTCACGCCGTGAGATGTTACTTTGAGATGTTACGTGAGATGTGAGATGTCCCATGTTACTTTGTCCGAGGGTAATTCTGTTCTACATCATTTTTATTGCTGAGATTTTGTCACGTATCCTCATGTGACATTCTGTTCTATTATTCCCCATCACGTGTGATCACGTGTTTTCTAGTGATCACGTGTTTTGCCCCATGTATTATCTTGCCAAGCTAAATCCCGAATGTAAATGGGACAATATTTTAACTGCTTTCATTATGACTCGTATATAACATTCTGCTCCCCAATATCTTGTTATGCAAGATTCTGTCCCACGTGTGAGTGAAATTCTTTTCTACTGTCCCATATTTTGTCTTATATTTCACACCGTGTGAGATTCTGTCCCATTTTATTTCTTGTCCCTCGAAATTCTATACCACCATTTCTCGTCATGAAAGATTTCCTCCCATTTTATATTGCCTGCGAAGGAATGCTTTTCTAAATATTAGATCAGATGTTCTCATCCTTTTGTGCATTTGTAATTTTGAAGATGCTTTCCTTTCCTTTTTTGTAGGTACAGTGATAAAATATTGTTTAAAATTCCAATTACAAATAAATTAGAGGAGTTTTAACATCATAAAATATATACGAGAGGCATTGTTGAGAGATTATCCGCAGAATTCGTTCATTCGTTGCCGTTGTTACGACCCTATTCTGCAGTAAATCAGTTGCATTTGGCATTCTTAACATAAATGAAGATCAAGGAAGAAGAACAGTTTATCTCCATTTTAGTCACGAATGACGATTAGATCGCCATCTGTTACATTTCGAGGATTACTAAGTTTCGACAAATCAACTGAAAAACCGGATCGTCTCGAGAATTATTACACAGTGAAGTGGCCATGCAGAAAAAACAAACTATTCCTGTCCGTGCGCAAAATTTCCTCTCAAAATCAGTTTTTATGGACATAAACCATTCTTCATCCTCAAATGAAAATATATTCGACTCGAAATTACCATCAAAAGTAACTCACTCTTCTGCCGGCTTGATTGTTGTGTCTGTTGACTGTTGCCACCACATTTTTCCTCACAGATTTCTGCCTCCAGGGGGCGTCTGCGAAATTCCTGGCAAATTTCAGTCCATGTTTTACATTGTGTGCGCAACCTCCCCACTTGAAGTCTCCGTGGGGAGGTTCATGCGGCATGGATCCACACGAACATGTTGTGAGGGACCCGTCACTGCACACCCTCGCAATGCTGTGTGCAACAGACGCTGAAGCCAAAGAATACACGAAAGCCTGCTCTCGCGTGCCTGTTGGAAAAAGAACATACAATGACTGTATTCTATTTTTATTTAATGAAAAAAAAATAATTTTTATACTTACTTACAGCAAATTAAAAAACAATGTACAAGATATATTGTGCTTAGGACAAAAACTGGAATAAAGTTTCGTAAACTCGGATGCGCTTAGTTATCGCCAAGACTTAGAATAATCACTCACCACGAGGGGAGTCAACAAGGAAAAGTGACGTCTTGAATTAAATAAACAACCGGACACTTTTTCTATCTTTTTTTTTCTCTCTCTTTTTGAAAATCTTTCAATGAAAAAGTGCATCAATACAGTAAGACTCTGCAAAACAGAATTTTCTTAAAAATGTCTAATGGTATATATATATATATATATATATATATATATACACAGNTATGACCCTGACTCAGACCAGATGTTTCAGTTACCAGATGTTGAAATATATATATACACTCAAGAGCCAAAACATTATGACCACCCCTACATTTTGCAATGAACTCTCCTGGATGACGTGGAAGGAAAGTGATCAAGTGGAAGTGGTATTTAACTGTTGCAGGAGAGTTTGAAGAATCATTCTTTCACTTACTTCTGTGTGTGATGGGAAAGGCTGCGGATCTAAGCGACTTTGATAGAGGGCAGATTGTAATGGCTCGAAGGCTCGGAACAAGTATTTCCGAAACTGCACGACTCGTGGATTGTTCACGATCTACAGTTGTTAGTACCTATGCAACGTGGATGAATGACGGTGAAATCAGCAGTAGTCGACATGGTGTTAGACGTCCACACGCTATCAAAGAAAAAGGTCGTCGAAAATTGTCTCGCTTGGTGAAGCAAAATCGAAACCAGACAGTGTCTCTGCTGGCAGCCCAAAACAATATAGGGTCAAGTAGAATAGTATCAGAGCACACTGTTCAGCAGACACTGTTGGATATGGGGCTACACAGCAAACGTCCTACTTATGCGCCTTTGCTGGCCAAGCGTAATCGCCAACTACGCCTGCTCTGGGCCTGGGAACATCGCGACTGGTCCATGGATCAGTGGGAGAGAGTTGTCTAGTCAGATGAATCATGGTTTGTCATTCATCACGCCGATGGACGTGTCAGGCTAAGTCGTCTTCCAGGTTGCTCCCTCAATGTACAGTGGGTCATACACAGGCCGGTGGTGGCGGTATTATGCTTTGAGGGACGTTCTCTTGGACGTCTCTGGGACCCATGGTTGCGGTAGAGCAGACCATGAATGCTACAGGGTATCTGAGCATCATTGCGAACCAGTTACACTCTTACATGGCCTCTGTTTTTCCAACTGGAAATGGAATTTTCCAACATGCAACGCCCCGTGTCACAAGGCTGAAATTGTGTTGGAGTGGTTCTAGGAACATGATGCTGAATTCCAGTTAATGTCCTGGCCGCCTAACTCACTGGATATCAATCTGATAGAACACATTTGGGATGTCATGGAACCGCAGCTCAGAGTTCCACTAAGTCGCAATATCTCGGATTTGCCTGACCGTTGCTGAAACATCTGATACAATCTGTCTCCGGCTATCTACCACGGACTTGTGGCATCCATGTCAAGGCGGGTTGCAGCTGTGTTGCGGGGGCTAAAGGTGGGCCAACTTGTTATTCAGAGGTGGTCATAATGTTTCGGCTCTTGAGTGTATATATATATATATATATATTTAAATTTCGCTGAAGTCATTATGTTAAACTAAATTTCGCCACATATTTATTTAATTTTTATTGTTGAATTAACTATTTATAGTCGTAAATTATTTCTAGTATGATTTTTCTCTTTTAAAAAATATAATTTCATCCATGCAAAAAAAAATTAATTTCAATAAGTGGTTATTAAATGAAACTATCGATACTCTATGGAAATTCCTCATAATCAGATATCGATCTATATCGAAAAACTATCGATATAGCTCACCGACTCATTAGGTTTGGGGAAATAGCGGCCACTAAGTTAGTGGCTACCACTACCTGGAAGAATCTAATGACTTAGTAGCCACCTTTGGCAATTTTCTCTAAATAAGATTTGATGGTCACTAGGTCGGTAAACTCTAATAACAAGAAATTTAAATTTTTAGGTCTACCAGTTAGTCAGTTCTTAAATTTGGTCACTATCTTGCGGGGAATATAACATGCTTTGGTTCCTTTTCTGTTTATGCTGACCTCTATGGCAATTCCTCATCAGGTAATTTATGCTTTTATATTAAGATCGCTCCTTATTAAATATTAAGATCTGGGAAATCCAATTTCGTGGTATGAATTTCTTTTTCCCGCATTGTTATGAAAATATAACATTATAACGTACTACTAGTTCTGAATTTGTGATGAAAAAAAAATGCAAAATTTCGATTAACGACTGACATCACTGACGTGACATAACGTGACAATATAAGTGCATTTTTGAATACTTTTAAACTACACAGGTGCATGAAAACAAACAATAAAAACATGTTAAAAAAGAAATTATCTCTATTATTGACATTATTTTGAAATGGCGTATTATTTGGCATGCACTGAATGTCTCTTGTTGGTATTATTTATAAATCAACAGTACAACATTAACAATTTGAAGATTTACTCTTCTCTCAATGACATACATCTACAGTGGATCTCCTCCCACGTAAACCTTTACTTTAATGATCTGGCCGATAAACTGGCCAAGGAGGGCTCTAATGATCCTATAGATAGTAGTGGCTTTCTAACATACAATGAAATCTATGCAAAAGTAAAGGTCGACAATAACATATTCTACTTAGTCATGATTGGTATCAATAAANCCGATAAACTGGCCAAGGAGGGCTCTAATGATCCTATAGATAGTAGTGGCCTTCTAACATACAATGAAATCTATGCAAAAGTAAAGGCCGACAATAACAGGACTTGGAATATTGGTATCAATAAAATTGTCCTGGGGCTGCCCTGGAGCTAAAAGGTGATAGGAAGCTACAGACAGCTATCACAAGACTAATCAGTAGTCATACCCGCGGACTAACATTTGTTCAGGGTCAAAAGACTTTCCCTGTATGCCTAAAATGTAATGTGCACCAGGCTTCACCTTATCATTTGCTGTCCTGTATGGGGGCTAGAGAAGAATCTTATCTTGGAGGGTCCGGCGATGGTATATGATTTTCTGTCGGTGAACGGTCTTCTGGACTTGGTCTAGCCTTGTCCTCGGCCAAGTAGAATAAGTAACAACATAAATAATTTTAAACAGAGTCAGATGCTTACATAGCCAGTTGATCGTTAATTGAACTTTCTCATCAAAGCATTTATTGTTCTATTATTCTGAATACTTATTTTTGATTCAATTCTGAAATTGAAGCAAATAAAAGACATAATTTTTTAGGGAAAATCACTTTTACTATATACTCGATTCGTATTATGGTCTGCGGAAACCTGGCCATTGAGGCCTCCTCCGTACTAATAACAGATTATTTGCTACATCTAAAATTGAGTTTTATTGACGTGAGTAATTAGTAGTTGGGTGTAAATTAAGGCCTTGAGTCGACGAGTTATTAATCAGTTACAGACAGCGATTAGATCTTATAATTAATAGAAAAAGAAAACGAAAATTTCATTTTTTCCTTGAATCAATATTAAAATTCTCGTTTATTTGGTCAAGGAGAAAATTGAAGTATTTTTTAGATTAAAAAAAATTATTAAAATTTAGTCGACTGATATCATAAGAAGATCGGCGAACATCGATGAGCCGATGAACTGAACAATGACGAATTTTTAAAGAGATACGGATGGCCGAAGATTGATTGATTAGCCAATAGATACGATTTATAAATTATTCATTTTCTTTCCCGTACAGCTCTTGGAGGGCCTTGGATTTCTTCTCCGGCTTATCTTCTTTAAATCTTGATTTTCATAATCGCAAGCTCATCCTCAACCTAGTTCAAACATGTTAGTTTTGGTCAATCTTTCTTTTTTTTGTTGCTGTTGCTATAAAGTTTTTTTTATGATTTTATTTCAAATATATCTTCCTTACATTTTTTTCTAGATGTCCTAACCATCGCATTTTTTTAAAAATTTCATGTGTGTATCTTTTTCTCCACGATCCATTTATCTCAACAGGTACATAGATTTTTCCTATAATTCTGAGCTCAAAATTTCGTAGCATATTTTGATCTCTTTTGACGAGTTATCCGTAACATGCGGATCTTGTTACTTTAATGTTCCTTTTCACAATACTATTTCTAGCCTCTTTTCTTAAACATTCAAGATTTACAAAGAAAAAAAAACTATTTTTGATTTAGTCAGCTGACAAAAGGGATATGTAAAATAATCGGATTAAGCACGTACTGACAGCCAATTGAGCTTTATGTTTATTTTGTATTTTACATATTTTTTTATTATTCCTTATTAAAATTCTGGCCTTGTCTCACAAGGAAACAATTAAGATCAGCTTTAGAGAACAAATGTTTAGAAGATAGAAATGATAAGGGGCAGATATCATTATGCTCTGTTACAACTAGATCATATTGACCATATCAACGAATTTTTAAAAATGAATAAAGTCACCTTTGGTTAAATCTGGTGTGAGATATGGAGCTAGTTTGATGCTGGAACAGTTCCATCGCATGTCGCTGAATGCTGCCAGGCACACATTTGTAGCCTCTTTGGCAGCAGAGACAATGTGCGACATCACCTCCACGTGTTTCTGGCAGAGTGACACCTGCCTGCCTTTTAGAAAAGCGTTCTTTTTTGCATACAGGCATTGTGAAGTCCTGTTCCAGCCTTCTCTCCACTTAGAAAGGGCTCTGCAAAAATAAATTAAATAAATCACCTTATTGATACATTCAATTGGGAATGCATTAAAATTAATCATGATACTTAATGTAGTGTCACTACTGTATAGCAAGTCAAAATTCATTCAGTACCGTAACGATGTTTTGTCACAATGTCATAATTGAACTTATGTTACTTTAGTTTTTGATTCATGTGGAATCATTTATGACTATGAAAATGCATTGTTTAAAGCATGGTAAAAGTTACTTGCATTAGATGTGTTTGATACATTTGAAATCACTTACGACTATGAAAATGCATTATTTACAACACGATAAAGTAACTTGAACTACTTAGTGTTTGATACAAGTAAAATCATTTACGACTATGAAAAAGCATTGTTTACAGCAGGATACCACATAATAGTTAACATCACCAAATGTGAAGAAATGGGTACAAAAATTTAAAGTTTTTTAAAAAGTGTTTTAATGTTGCATTTTGTATAATAACGTTTTCACAAAAATTATTTATAAGAGAAACAACTTATATCGATCTTTTTCTTTTAGTCCTTTGACTCCAGAACTAGGTTCCGCAATTAAATTTTTTCAGTTTTTGCCGTATTTTTGAAAAAAGGATAGTTAGTAAATTTTCTGTGAAAGTTTTGTTAAAAAAAAAAAGAAAAAGACTTATTTGAGTCGCAACATATATCAACCTTCGTCTTTTAATTCTTTGACTATTAAATAGAGACAACTATAACTAAGCAAGAGATACTGAAAATTAGAATTGTTTCCATTCTTTCTTTTCATCTTTATCTTTGTAAATTTTTTATTGTTGTTAAAACCCATATTTCTCGCCTCATTATTTACTTCTCTTCCTTTATTTCGCTGACCGGAATCGAGGTGATTTGGGTGACTGTGACTGGCTTGGTGACAACCGGCAGTCACCACCCATGACGAGCTTGTCACCGAAGTGGGTGGATCGGTGGGTGGTTCGTGGTTTTTCTTATTTGATAGCCGCACTTTCATTATTTGGCAATTTAAAGCGTGTTTGCTTCTATAGTTTTCTAGTGATGTATTTCTTCTTTAGCATTTAATTTTATTTCTTTTCTTCCAATTTTTAAAAGACGGCTTTAGTGAAACTAACTGAATATTGAACATGACGGAAATGAGTTTTGTTACTATTAATTTTAAAAGTTTCAACAATAATTTGAAAAACTTCAGTTTTCGGAACTTTTTATCAGTGAAGTAAAATCGTCAAGCTAGCTGCTGATATGTAAGCGTTTTCGTTTTCCATATAAACTTGATATAAAATTAATATGAAAGCAACTAAAATAAAAAAAAATGATTTCATTCTCGCAATGATGAAATGTAACAACAATAAGTGAGATTCATATAATTATTAATAACTGATAATCAGTAGTATATGTATCTGTTTGTAAATTGATTACTTAAAATGCACTCTATATTTAAATGCTGGGCTGTATGAGGCATTCATATTACTGGGAATTCATAATAGCCCGAGATGATGAGCCAAAGAAATATCTAGATATTTATATAAATAAAACAAATTCTCCCATATTGCTCATGAATATAGACTAAAGTAAAACAATTGCTGTTTGCCTGCCATTCTAACTGCAAAACTTTGAGGTTTAAAATTATTGTAGTAGGCAGCAGTCCATATACAAATGATATGAAATAAGTAATATTCTGTCTTCATTCAGTTATTGTATTTCAGGTTGTGTATTTCGCATATAATTTTATGCAAGTGAGAATCCAGTTAAAATTAGGTCCTTTTAAAATATGATTAGCCATAAAATGCGTTATTTTTTTAAACCAATCGCATTCTAATAAACAATTTTAGACCAAATACACACCGATTGCACTGTTACAGACTATTTTTTAAATGAATTGAAAGTTAGAATTAATTTCCCTTTGTTTGCGCTTTATATATCATGTATTTAAATTTTTTTTACATATTAACCATCAACGCAGCACAGTCAGACCGGCAGAATTACAATTGTCTTATTTCAGCTGATAGATTATTATAATAACCAACATTTTGCTATGGTGTCTTTAAAAATATATGTCACTTTTACCTTTTTATTGTCTTCGGTATACTACACATACGTAAAGATAATATCATACAGTCTTATTTCGAGAATTTTTAATGTTTTACAATTTGAATCTCGGCAAAGAATAAAGATAATCAGATAATGCATAAGCTTAATGCGTTATGTTTTTTTTTTTTAAAACATTTTGTTTAAAAAAGGAACCTTTAATAGGCATTATGATACGAAATTTTCCACGAGGAAAAAAAGGAAGATTAATATAATATTTTTAACAAATAATAATTATAATAATAAAATTAGCAAAAATATTGAAATAAAAGTAATTGCAGTGGTTTATTTTGAACTTTGGAAATAATAAAGTTTTTAGCGAAAAACTAAATTAATGTTTTAAAAACAGTAGTGCTCGTTTAAAACAAACTCGACGCATACATGCATTAAAGAAATACTTTAGTCAATGCAAGTTTCATTTCAAATGCGTTGAAATTAGTTAATACTGAATTAGATACGGATCGAAACCTTTGCATTGCATTAAAAATTTCTTTTTATTTAAGATGGGTAAAAAAATTTCTCGAAAGTTGAATCAATTCCAAAATAAACAAATGAAATGCATATTTTAATTTATAATGAAAAGTATTAAGAAGATATGCAAACGTTTCACTAATATCTTCTGATCAAATATTATTGAATCGAATGATAATTTATACAGAAACCGTAAAAAGTCGAAACTGAAACTAATACTTTTTATTATTTATTATTTTGACTATAAAAACAAACCTAAGAGTATTTCAGGTCACAACATGTTTTAATTTTGTTAAAAAAAATCTGAAAAGAAATTGGAAGAACCCAAATTTAACAGAAATATAAAATTTAGTGTCAAATTTACTTTGAAATCATTTATAAAAAAGATTGATGTAATTGGTATGTAGCGCATACAAAATTTTTTTTATATTTAAAACTACTAACCGGTAATAAAATTTTCAGTAAATTTGTATAAGCATAAAAAAAAAAAAGTTTCCGAAAAACAATATTAGTCGATTCACGCTTTTTTTTACTGATTATCCTATAGTTAAGGATAACGTCGTTTGTAGCGATAAGTTGCCAAATCTTGTAGCTCTTCGTTATTAGAGGAAAAGCTTTTGCTCCGAAATGGATGATAAGTCGGCCTCTCTAATTCAGGTGCTCTATATAGGGAGAGGCCCTTGTGATGTCATATCCGACGGTGAATTCTTGTTACCACTGAATCACTCATTACATCACAGCAAAGCAGGCAGCGACTGGAATAATCGTGATTCCCTCACCTCAATTGCGGCTGCTCATAGGTATATACTCGGTTTTTTAAACATATAGGATGTTCCATTATTTAGGTGTGGTGATAAAAGCAATAAAAAGAATGAAAACCTACTGTGGGATACACTGACCAAAATAGAAAAACATTTCTAAATAAAGCAGTGTGAACTTAAAAGAGAACATTTCTAAACAAAGCAGTGTGAACTTAACAATCTAGTTACTGTAACTTCAATTAACAATCTTGTGATTATGGTGACTTCAACTACGCACATTCTTGTCGATGTTTTCAAGCGAGGTAGCACGTTGCAGCTATCATATGTATTCTATGATTATTCTTACCTAATTTATGTAACTTTTATTTTGTATTTAACCTAGATTAAAATTTAATCTCTAGCAATAAATGTTTAAAATTTAATTAACCTTCCTTTTATTGTGAACTCCCACATCAAAGGGGCCCTCACCTACAACATAAAATGGGGTTGCAAGCCTTATTTAAATTGAAAAACCATACATACGACCCTAGAAAAACCATGCGGGTTTCTACGTCACGCTATAAACAACTACAAACTTACTAGCTACAAAAGAGATTTATCAGATAAGTTTGAAATGGTAATCCACTGACATCATCGCTTAGTTCCAACGTCGTGAAAACAATTCCCGTTCAAAAATGCCGAAAGTGTTCTTGATGTCCGCCGAAGCGGGTGGCAATAAGCGCATTCTAGGGCCGGGATAGCCTGGTTGGTAGGGCACTGGGCTAGTGGGTTCGAACCCCCACCGATCGAAGACTCCCTGTAGTAAATGGTGACTGATGCAAGTTAAATCTATCCGGTCACAAAGTCCTCCATGTTCCCATAATAAATCATACGCCTGGGGGAACTCTTCCAGGAGTTTCCTTGTCTCCTGCAATGGGTTCAAGGAAACTACAAGAAATTACAAGGCTACGGAGTTGAACATTAGTAGTCGTAAACCTAAAATTGGGTCTGCTGTTCAACTACGGTTGTAATATATAATATGAGATCTTTCTACCACGTTTATTAAATTATCAACCTGGTTTGTGACCCCATGAACCATCAGTTGTAAGTTTTCACCCCCTTGATGCCTCTTATCACCCTTTTGAATTTTCTGGTCAAAATAAGCTGTATTCGACTAGTTAAAGCATAATTTAATGCTAACATTTCAAACTTTCTTTTTCGTTTGAGCACAATATTCATTGTGTTAGCAACAATTAATGAAATAATTTTAAAAAAAAAGTAAAAGCAACTTTTCTATGGTTCTACACAAAAAGTAGTAAATAAAATATTGTGAGTAACTTATAAAAATGGTGTCTATTAATTAGACAAAATTTTTAAAGAAAGCAGATGAAAAGTCGATGGTTCTCGATTAACAATAATTACACCAAATAAACTACAAGGTTTTTCATTGCATATCAATTATTTCAACTTAAAACTTCTCACTTCACTAACTTATTATTGACAAATAATTTAAATTCTTTAAAGAGAAATTAGTTTTAAAGATATAACTGTATAATTTCTGATTTAAATTTTTAAGACCTTAAGCTAAAACGCATTTCAAACGTGCTTAATTAAGTAGCGAGTGACGCGAGCATGGTTTGCATTGTTGTTGTTGACGTATGCCTGTTTAGGTAGAGGGGGTGCGATTGTTTTTGTTTTCCTGTGG